CTCTCTCTCTCTCATCTCCTCTCTCTCTCTCGTCTCTCTCTCTCGCTCTCTCTCTCTCTCTCTCTCTCTCTCTCTCTCTCTCCCTCTCCCTCTCCCTCTCCCTCTCCCTCTTCCTCTCTCTTCCTCCTCCTCCTCCTCCTCCTCCTCCTCCTCCTCCTCCTCCTCCTCCTCCTTCTTCTCTACGTCTCGTTCGTCTCCCCTCCTTCCCTCTCGTCCCTTTCTTCTCTCTCCCTCCGCCTCCCCTCCGTCCTCCTTCTCTACGTCTCTCGTCCCCTCACCCCCCTGTCGTGAAGATATATATCACAGGAATTCGGGCGTGCCTGAATCTCTGCCCTACACAATACAACTCGGATATAACATGCACATGAAAACGTAAGTCGCGGGTCGTGTACTGGATATGATTTTCCTTTCTCTCTCCCTATTTTGGGGGTTTTGTTGTTGTTGTTTTATTATTGTCTTTTCTCGATTTCTGTGTTTGTTTGTTTGTTTGTTTGTTTATTTTTTGTTTTGGGTTATTATTTCCAGACTTGATTTTTTTATTATTATTTTTATGTTTAAAGTTTAAGTGCAGGTGGCGGGGGTTATGGAAAGAGGGGGGGTGGGAGATGGGGAAGGATTTTTTTTCCTTTTTCTTATCCTTCTTCTTCTTCTTCTTATCCTTCTTCTTCTTCACCTTCTTCTCCTTCTTCTTCTTCTTCTTCTTCTTCTTCTTCTTCTTCTTCTTCTTCTTCTTCTTCTTCTACTACTTCTTCATCATCTACTTCCTCTTCTTCTTCTTCTTCTTCTTCTTCTTCTCATTCTTCTTCTTATTATTACTATTATTATTATTATTATTATTATTATTATTATTCTGCTTCTTTTTAAATTGCGGGATTACACGTGCCTGATGTGTTTTTGTCTCATTCGAAAAGTTTTCTTCGGAGTTAACGTTTTTTTTTCCTTTTTCAAGCTAGTCACAAACGCACAAAAGTCTCGGGGATGAAACCCATTTTTCACATACCTTCTTGCTGTTCTTTATCGATTTTTGTATCGTCCTTTCATATATTTTTTTTTTTTTTTTGCTGTAATGAAGTTATTTCCAGTTCGCCTTTCTCCTGTTTATTCTTCTCTTTCTTATTCCCTTTCGTTTTCATCATTTTCTCTCTTTTTTTTTCCTCTTCTCTCTTCGCTTCCTTTTCCTCGCGTTCGTTGTTATTATCTGCTTTATCTATATCGTATCTTTATCTCCTTTTTTTTCATCTTTCTTCCTCTCTTCTCTTCACCGCATCTTTTTTTCGTTCTTGATTCTTCTCTCCCCTTATGGTCCTCTTCCTCCATCTTATTTGCATCAATCTTTTCAGTTTTATCCTCCTCTTCTTCCTCTTCCTCCCTTCTCCTTCTCCTTTATCCTCATCCGTCTTCATTCCCACATATCTCTCTTTCTCCTTTGTCCTTCACTCTCTATCCGCCCACGCACCCCGCCCCCCCCCCCCCCGCACTTCTCCTCCTCCTCCTCCTCCTCCTCCTCCTCCTCCTCCTCCTCCTCCTCCTCCTCCTCCTCCTCCTCCTCCTCCTCCTCCTCCTCTCCTCCTCCTCCTCTCCTTCTCCTCCTTCTCCTTCTCCTCCTCCTCCTCTTCCTCCTCTTCCTCCTCCTCCTCTTCCTCTTCCTCTTCCTTCTCTTCCTCCTCCTCGTACTATTTTCTTCCTAACCGTTTCCCCCCTTCCCTCTTTTCATCCCCCATCCCCCATCCTTTATCCTCCTCCATCCCTCCTCCTTCCTTCTTCCTTTTTCCTTCTTCCTCCAGGAAGGAGAAGGAGGAGGAGAAGGAGGAAGAGAAGAAACGGGAGAAGGAGGAGTGACGTCTTGAGGTGATTGGGGCAGCGTGGTCCGGGGCTCTCATTGGGTATGCAGAGCGGACGCGATCGTAAACTTTTTCGCGGGGGAGGGAGAGGGAGGGAGGGATGGAGGGAGGGAGGGAGGGGAGGGAGGGAGGGAGGGAGGGAGGGAGGGAGGGAGGGGAGGGAGGGAGGGAAGGAAGGAGGGAAGAGGAGGGAGGAAATAGAGGGTAGGAGTGGAGGGAGGGAGGGAGGGAGGGAGGAGAGGGTGGGAGGAAAAGAGAGGGAGGGGATGGAAGGATGTGAGTGAGGGAGGTTCGGTGGCTG